ATATCATCCACCACTGTGTTTGTATGTCATATCCTTGTCAGTGCAGTGAAGCATTAATACAATTACCTAATAACTCCAAAATTAACATAGGTCAATACTAAGAAATTTAAATCTCAGAAAATGTTCATCTGGTGTTTTTAAAACAAGTAATTTCTAACAAATACTAACAAAATCTGTGCAATCTGAAGTAATCCATATAAGAGATAATCAGTCTTTTTTTTTTTTTAATAAGCCACTGACATTTTCAAAGCCATTACACAAAGGGAGTGGGGAGAATTTAAACTTATCACAGTATACACTGATGTTTTGCAGAGTTCATGTCACTACTGTTATTAATCCCCATGAATCATCACTAACATCCTTTGTTTTCTAAATGAATACGTGTAAGTTCAGAGACATCTCTGTCTGTGCATGCATACGTGGGCCTGTGCATGCACACAGCACCACCCAAAAAATGTAAGGCAGGTTGTAGCTATACTGCATGTGTGATTACAACAAATGGACAGTCTATGAGTGGTCTAGGGAATAGGATAGTTGACTGGGCGCCAGGAGATCTGTGTACTGTTACTGGATCTGCTACTTACTCCATGTGTGAATTTTGTCAAGTGAATTAACATCCCAACTTTTCCATCTGTAAAAGGAGCATTATGAGCCTTGCCCATATTTGTACAGTGCTTGGAGAAGAACTATATATGAAAAGCATTATTAAAAGTGCTAGAAATTATTAATACTTTAGTAGGATTGAATCAGCAATCAACAAGGTGTATGTATTACTTTTATATGCTGACTCTAGGAAAGTGAAAAAGGGGAAACTTCTGAGAGCCTCTACAGCTGTCAAAGGAATATTAGTGAGAACTGAGTCAAACAAGGCAATATACAAGTCCTCTGCTCTCTTTCTGGACCTAACCTTCCTATCATTTTCTCTCCTACTCTCTTTATTGTTTTTCCTTGAGGTCAATAGAGTTCTCTCTCTCCCTTCTTCTCCCTAGGCCTTACTAGGTGCCAACCTTTCAACCTAGCAGCTAATCCACACACCAAATCCCCTTAGTCATGTTTCCTTGCCAAGCCATCAGCCACTCTAGGTTACATTTGAATAGGCAGCCTCAGAAGCAAATGTGCTTTTGAATAAGCAGCATCCCTGCTCCACAGAGAGATGATGACCTTGTGGACTCTACTGTGAAGCCTCTGTGAAGGCCAGTGAGCTTGGACAGATGTGTTTGTGGTAGGGTGCGGCAGAAAAAGTTGTGAACATAAGAGTGGCCAAAGGCCAATGCTAAATGTTTCAGAGGGCATGTACAGAACAACAGGGCAATTACTGAATGATCCTTCCCCTCTTACCCAATTCCAGTTTCTGACAGTCTGAGGTTTAGGGGAACCTGGAACATGTGGCTAAGTCACCAACCATCTTGGCTAATGACCATTGTTCAACCTCTCCTCCATGAATCATAGAATCATAGAACCATAGAGCTGGAAGAGACCTCAGAAGGTCATCAAGTCCAGCCCCCTGCTCTAGGCAGGACCAATCCCAACTAAATCAACCCGGCCAGGGCTTTGTCAAGCAGAGACTTAAACACCTTTAGGGATGGAGACTCCACTACTTCCCTAGGTAACCCATTCCAGTGCTTCACTACCCTAGTGAAATAGTTGTTTCTAATATCCAACCTGGACCTCTCCCACCTCAACTTAAGACCATTGCTCCTTGTTCTAGCATCTGTCACTACGGAGAACAGCCTTTCTCCATCCTCTTTGGAACCTCCCTTCAGGAAGTTGAAGGCTGCTATCAAATCCCCCCTCACTCTTCGCTTCTGCAGACTAAACAGACTCAACTCCCTCAGCCTCTCTTCATAAGTCATATGTTCCAGCCCCCTAATCATTTTGGTTGCCCTCCGCTGGACCCTCTCCAATGCATCCACATCCTTTTTGTAGTGGGGGACCCAGAACTGGACACAATACTCCAGATGTGGCCTCACCAGAGCCGAATAAAGGGGAATAATGACATCTCTGGATCTGCTGGCAATGCTCCTCTTAATACAACTTAATATGCCATTAGCCTTCTTGCTACAAGGGCACACTGTTGACTCATATCCAGCTTCTCATCCACTGTAACCCACAGGTCCTTTTCTGCAGAACTACTACTTAGCTGGTTGGTCCCCAGCCTGTAACAATGCTTGGGATTCTTCCGTCCCAAGTGCAGGACTTTGCACTTGTCCTTGTTTAACCTCATCAGATTTCTTGTGGCCCAATCCTCCAATTTGTCTAAGTCACTCTGGACCCTATCTCTGCCCTCAAGCATATCTACCTCTCCCCCTAGCTTAGTGTCATCCACAAACTTGCTGAGAGTGCAATCCATCCCCTCATCCAGGTCATTAATAAAGATATTGAACAAAACGGTCCTAGAACCGAACCTTGGGGCACTCCGCTAGAAACCAACTGCCATCCTGACATCGAGCTTTTGATCACTACCCACTGGGCCTGGCCTTCTAGCCATCTTTCTATCCATCTTACTGTCCATTTATCCAATCCACATTCCCTTAGCTTGCTGGCAAGAATATTGTGGGAGACCGTATCAAAAGCCTTGCTAAAGTCAAGGTATATCACATCCACTGACTTTCCCACGTCCACAGAGCCAGTTACCTCATCATAGAAGCTAATCAGATTGGTCAGGCACGACTTTCCCTTTGTGAATCCATGCTGACTATTCCTAATCACCTTCCTCTCTTCCAAGTGCCTCAAAATGGATTCCTTAAGAATCCCTTCCATGATTTTTCCAGGAACCGAGGTAAGACTGATCGGCCTATAGTTCCCTGGATTGTCCTTCTTCCCTTTTTTGAAGATGGGCACTACATTTGCGTTTTCCAGTCATCCGGGATTTCTCCTGACCTCCACGACTTTTCAAAGATAATGGCCAAAGGCTCCTCAATGACATTGCCAACTCACTCAGTACCTTAGGATGCACTAAGTCCAGACCCATGGATTTGTGCACGTTTAGCTTTTCTAGATAGTTTCTAACCTGTTCTTTACCCACCAAGGGCTGTCCATCTTCATCCCATCTTGCGACACTTAGCGCATTAGTCCGGGAGCCCACCTTGTATCTAATGTATCTAATTGGGTTATGCTTTTGGCTTTCACAACAGTCCCTGGCAACGAGTTCCATAGGTTGTCTGCATGCTGAGTAAAGAAGTATTTCCTTATACTTGTTTTGAACCTGTTGCCCATTAATTTCATCAGGTGATCCCTTGTTCATATATTATGTGAAGAGATAAACAACACTTTTTCTTCATACCATTTATGGTTTTATAGAACTCCATCATATCCCTTTTACCCTTACCTATTCTAAGCCTTGGTCTTATGAATCTCTTCTCATATTAAAGCTATTCCCTAATTTTTGTTGCCCTTCTCTACACCGTGTCCAAATCTTTTTTGTTGTTGTTGTTTTTTTGAGATGGGAGTGACCAGAACTGCACATGGTATTCCAAGTGTAAGCATATCATGGATTTATATAGTGGCATATTCAATTTTTCTCCTATTTTCTATCCTATTCCTAGTGGTCACTAACAAAAGCTTAGCTATTTTTACAGCCATTGCAGATTGAGCATATGTCTACAGAGAATTTCCACAATGATTCCAAGATGTCTTTCTTGAGTGATTACAGCTACCCTATCATTTTGGATGTATACTTTCCAGTGTGCATTACCTTGTCTTTACAAACAATGCATTTCATCTGCTATTTTGTCACCCAGTCACCCAGTTTTGTGAGGTTCCTTTTGAACTCTTTACAGTCACCTTTGGACTTAACTACCTTGAGTAATGTGATATCCCGTGCAAACTTTGACATCTCAGTTATCCCTTTTTCCAAATAATTTCTGAGTATGTTGAACAGAACTAGTTCTAGAACATACCCTTAACAGATATCACTATTTACCTCTCTCCACTGTGAAAAAATATCATTTATTCCTACCCTTGTGGGGATGGGCTATAACAATATGGTGAGGACTGTTCATGTCACAGAAAAAGGGTCAGATCTGACTTAACAGGTGAGCTGCCCACTTGATCCTTTCTTTCACAGTTAAGAATGTACTAAAGTATAAGGTATGATCTTAATTTTTTATAATGAAGAGTGTGCTCACTTTTGGCAGGAAATTCTGAGAAACATGGTTTAAAGGATTCGGAGCCCGATTGTCTCTTCACTTATGCCCTCTGTACTGGTATTATTCCATTAATCCCAACTGAGATACTCCAGATGTAAGGCCTGATTCAGAGACCACTGAAGAACTTCCGTAGCCTTTGGTCAGGCTCTTACTGTGGTGCATGTGGGAGGATGGTTGATCTGTAGATTCTGGTCTCCTCACTAACCAGATATACCCATCTGCCAGACATAACAACTTGCAAATAAACACTGTTTCCCAAAAATGAGTCCCGTTCCACTGAGAGGTAATGGGCCTGCAAAGTTTCAGTATAAAGGACACAATATAAATATATTCACTTTGAAAAGAACAAGTTTACACTGGCTCAGGCAAATAGTCCTAGTTCCTGATTCTCCACAACCTTGTACATTGTGTAGTCACACTACCTCTGGTGTCATTCTGATTTGGTAGCCTTTTACAGTTATCTTGCATTAACTTCAGAGAAATGAAAATGATTACACAAGCAGCAAGGCAGTAGTGCATGAGGTTCGTAGATTGGAAAAGAACTATCTAAGGGGGAAAGAGAACAGCTTCTAGAGCTAGAAAAACAATCTGTAAGCTTTTGTTCTATAGAATGTTTTTGCATTTTGAAAATTAGCAAGAGGAAACCAACTTTCACTGAGAGAAGTATTTCATCAAGCCCAGAGGCCTGTGACTCACAGTCTACCTGATGACAGATGTGAGACAGCTAACTAGCTGCCCGCTGCCCACATTTCAGGTTAAAGTGCAAATGCATCCCAACACTCACCCACCACCTCTGGCAGACGCTACAAATAATTTTCTTGCAAAGATTTTCATATACAGTTATAGGGGTACCTCTTATTTTCCCTTCTCTCTCACCCTCGCAGGCAAATGTTGAATGATTGTTGGAGTGGAACTCTGCTTGAACTTTTGTCTAATCCAAATGTGAAAACATAAGTAACCAGGAATTCAGTTGGCAACTATAAAAGGATAGTTCTAGTTATGCAATCCATTCAATTATGTGCCAAAAAGATCTTCAAAATCCTATGTGGGAGAGGCACTCAAAGTTTTTCCTTTTAATAATTAATAGAAACTACTTTATAGGTATCTGAAAAGCCAGTAAAGACTTACAGCCAAATATTTATGCACTCCGTGGACCAAATTCATCTCTGGAAAAAATAGCTATAATTCCATTTGAATCAATAGGAATTGTGCCTTTTTAGTGTAGAGCTAATTTTCACCCTATATGTATTATTTCTAGTCTAATAGTCTCAAGTATGTATGTAACTCAAACCTTGAGATTCTAGCAAGGAGTATTTTCATTATCAAATAAGATCATCACTGTGTCCTATGTTGAAGTTCTGAATTAATCAAAGCTCTGTTGTTATTAGTCTTTTGATACAAAAGTCATCGTCACCAAGTTTAACATGTAGAGCTATTAGATTAGCAGACCATCTGGTTCTACATATTACCACCCAGTACATGTGCCCTGAATAACTGGCTGGTCTCTTCTAGGTGCCACAGGAAAAGTGGGCCTGCAGCAGGGATTTAAATAGAGTTTAGTGACCTGGCAGGCTGGCTCAGGAAAGGCATGATTTGAATGGGAGGAAGGAAAGAAGATAACATGGAAATGTTTATTGGAGAAGTGGACAAACAGGGTTTGAGGCTGGCATTGCTGGTATAATAGGTGAGGATCCAAAGACGGGCGCTGGAACAATTTTTATAGTGCAGGTGCTGAGAGCCATTGAATCAAACTGTATGTCCTGTGTATAATGGAAACCAAGTCAGAGGGTGCTGCAACACCCCTCACACCCGAAGTTTCAACACCTATGCCCAAAGATATAAGAGAAATCTATTGTACATAGCAAAGCTGTCTTTGTCATCCTAAAACCACTAACGGTACCTCTCTACTTCAGTGAAACACCCGGTTTTCACTGGTCAGGCCTGGGTCCTAGAGGGAGCCTGGCTCCGGCTTGAGCTTGAACATCTATACTGCAGTTGTTAGTTCCACAGCCTGAGTCTTGTGAGCCCCAAGCCAGCTGCAGCTTTTTTATAGCTCCTTTAATCCAGTGTGGATGTACCCTAAGCACACATCTACGGAGCAGGACTAATGTTGCAATAAGCTGTCCAATTTCAGCTATGTCAATTGCGTAGCTGAAATCAAAATAGTTTAATTTGGCTTTTGGCGCTCTCTACACAGCAGGAAGTCAAAGGAAGAACACTCTTCCTTTGACTTCCCTTACTACTCATACAATTAGGGTTACATGAGTCAAAGTAAGAAGTCCTTCAGCTCAACATTATTTTGAAATAAAGGGTTGTAGCATAGACGCATATTTTGTTATTTGGGAATAATGTCAGTTATACCAAAATAACGCTGCTGTGTGGACATACCTTAAGGGAACTAACTGCTATACTGGCAGGTAGCATTTAGCTGGTTTTAGCAAGACTGACTAACATATTCAAATATTTTGTTCCGAACGAATGCTCTGAGTATACCCAGAACTTTGAGGAAGCTTAGGGCCTAGACGTGAACTGTTTAGCTCAAGGCCATCCCAAAACAGAAGAAGAGCACTCAAGTCTTTACTAAGCTCAGTATACACATCTGCTGTACTGAATAGTTTTGTGGGAGAAAGGTGGCTTAAAATCATGTTTCTGCTCCATCAATCTTTGACTGTCCTTTGTCCCCAAAGCCTCCAGAATAACTTAGCTATGTCTGGACAGCAGGCTTCTTTTAGAAGAAGCTTTTCCAGAAGAGATATTCTAAAAAACTTCTTCCGAAAGAGAGTGCCCACACTGCAAAAGAGCATCAAAAAAGCTATCTGCTTTTTCAAAAGATCGTGTCCACACTGAATGGATGCTATCTTGCATTTAAGCTGTGATTACTATGGATGGATTGGCCACCAGGGCACCTGTGCTTTTTCCTCTTTCCTCTTCTTTGGAAAGAACTACCTCTTCCCCATCCACACACATCTTTTTTATGAAAGAGCTCTTTCGGAAAAAGGCTTCTTCATCGTAGAAAGAGATTTACCAATATCAGGAAACCCACTCTATTCTTTCAATCTTTTTTTTTTTTTTTTTTTTGAAAGAACGTGATTGGAATATGGATGTAAGTGCAGGGTTTTTTTTGGAAAAATGGCCATTTTCCTAAAAAAAATTCTGTAGTGTAGACATAGCTTTGGATGCAGTGATAACTTTCAGATCGTTGTCTCTACTCCTTCCCGTCACTTATATGGCAAATCCCTTGTGCTCCCTCCTCCATCTTTTATAGAAGGAGGGGTGGCACATAGCCAACTATCCACAATTTGAGGACTTCCCATTGGGGGAACTTTTTGCCATCATCAACCTACCAGAACCAAAGTCAAAAACTGGTGTCATTCAGTGTAACCTCCATTTAAACTGTGGGAAAACTGGCAAACAGACAAAGTATATGTCTTCCCCCACTCTTTACATTATTCTTCCTACATGAGTGTGGATGAAATGGATCTATTCAGGAGTCTCACTTTGGTGTCACCTGGCATAACTGCAGCATATGTGTCCTGGATATATTTCTGTGAGTTGAGATGAATCAGCATTTCTACAAAAGCAAAACACTCTAATATAGATGAGTCAGCTACATAAGGCAATAACTCCCAGTAGCTTGAATTTAGTGGGAGAAAGGCTTAGATTCCAAGTTTATATTTGTATAACCCTAAGGTTCTGGGATATTTAAATCAGGTATTTTGCTTTTGGGCCATGTTGTGTGAGAGAGCCTACTCTGATGAATGCATGATGTTGCTAGTGTACTCTAATTAATATCTGTTTTTAAAAAAATCATTTGGCAGCACAGTTACCTGGGCTTTTCGCCTTCCTCTGCAGTGTGCAGATGCTGGTCACTTGCCAGTATTTTTTGGGTAGATCTCACTTGATCATTTCACTGCCATTGCAGAGGTCTCAGGCACTGGTGCACCGTGGTCCCATCTATTCTCTTCCTATGACCAGGCCCACCGATTGTGGGAGGGCGGAAAACTGCCCCGGGGCGCAGCAATTCAAAAGGCCGCCTTTACTGTCACTCCAGGCCCTTTAAATCACCTCTGGAGTACCCATGGCACACTCTGGGTAGCTCTGAGAGTTGGATGATTGTACATGCTGTGCTTTGGGTGGTGCTGAGGGCTGGCTGCCCCTTCCACCAGAGGCCCCAACCCTTCAAGTAACATGGAGTCACACCCCTACACACACTTGCCCAGAGGCCTGGTGAGGCTGTGGGCCCCCCTGCCTGTGAATCCCGATAGTCTAGTCTCCAGCTGGCTGTAATATTTTGGTCTAACTGTGATTGCTGGGTTTATTATGTGGGTGCTGGGTACTGTTGGTGGCCTGTGCAATACGGGAGGTCATACTGGATGATATGATGGTCCCTTCTGGCCTTAAACTTTATGGTTCTGCACCTTCTGAAAAACAAATATCCAAAAATAAACCAATAAAATAAACTATTCCTATTGCTAGAGCTTCTTTTGTATTCATTTTAGAATGAATATCTGTGTCTGACAATATAAAAGACAGTATTTGCCATTGTGATGTCTACATCACTAATGTTCATGTATTTTCTCCTCTTGGTGGCAGCACTGTTAAAAAAACTGTCCCCCTCCTCCCCCCCCCAGTAAAAAGTTTGGCCAGGCCGCTCTTGCTATAGTGGGCTGCAGTACTCCTCGGGAGAAACCGGTCACACCCTTCCTGCATACCATTGCCTTTAGAAAAAGGGAAGGTGTGAAAAGGGGAAAATAGCCTCAGACTCTCCCACCTGTCACCTTGGCGTGAGAACTGCGGTGTTGCCTGGTCACATGAAACCTGCTCAGTTTCGGCCCTACCCCTTGGACACAGACTCCCCACATGGTGACCATTGGGCCATATATGGTAATATGCAAGCACGGGAAAGCGATGTGCAGATTTGGGGATAAATACCCATCATGCAGTTTGCTCGAGGAGGTCTTTGCAACACACGTACCACCGTGCGTGTTCCTTCCCATATGCTTCAAAGCGCTGCCGGCCTGATCGACCAACCAGCCACCTCCCCCTCTCAGGCGTAACCAAGGCCTTCACAACCGAACCGATATCTTTGAAATGTTCCGTGTGCTGTGTAAGTTGGTATGTATGATTTGATTTTTTCTTGTTGTATAAGCTTAGTGTTGTAGTTGTTTCGGGTAGTACATAAAGTTTGTAGTTATCACTGTTATTTAATTAGTGTAGCTGGATATTTTTAGAATAGAGACTATTCCCCTTGCCATTCCCATCCTTATATCTCTGACATGTTTAACTAGAAATCATAGAATAAATATAATAAATACTGTAAATTCATTATTAACACGGTCTATTAAAATCTCAGAATAAATACTATAAATTCATCACTGTTATAAATAAATATTTTTTATTTGATAAAACGGTCCACCTGGTTCTGTCCTTCCCCCCTTAGGTATGCATCATCGGACCTATGATTCTCGCGATAAGCACCACTGAAGTTCTTGTAACGTGGTGGATCAGAGAACTATTTCTGTGCTATTTTATTTTCAGTTTGGCAAAGGAGTGCAAATCTAATTCTTTCACACAAGTTTTCTTTTTTGTACTAAGTCTGATCAATTGCTCAGTGCATCCAAAGAGATATATGTGAAGAGTAAGATGTCTGGGCTGTCACATAACCTGCTAAATACTTATTGTCTATAGTATAGATAGATAGATAGGTCAGGATTCCAGTCTCTTAACTGCAGGAATTCAACTTTACTGGCCTGAAGTTTCTAGACTTAGTTTGGAATGAGATGCAAGGATTCACAATATGGATTTTGTTCAGCTCAAACAGATTTCTTTTTGTGTCCAATATGTCTCCCTCTCCGGTTACACTGTGAACTGAGTACTTATGCACATTGCTAAAACAGGTGGCAGT